GGATACTCTCAATGCCACTTTCTTTGGTCATAGACTGTTCCAATACCATGTTCTTTGGTCATAGACTGTTCCAATACCACGTTCTTTGGTCATAGACTGTTCCAATACCACGTTCTTTGGTCCTGGATCTTCTCAATACTACTTTCCTTACACAAATCCAGTCCAGATATGATAGATACTTTTTGAAACCGCCTTTACCAACAAGATCTTGAAGTACCATGAATCAGTTCTCTGTAGCAACTATATACATACACCACACACGTGTATACATCTTGTTTTAGAACTGTTACAAACACAGGAGAAACAACTCAGTAAATTTAGAAAACCGTTGAAATACGACAATTTAGTCATGAAAAACAAAACATCACATCTTGCAACTTCCTGAAGATTAGATCACGTCAAACTGTTTCATTGTTTTGATTTACCAGGTTTCTTATGAATTGAATTATTTCAGTTTTGTGAGTGAATGAAACTAGTTTGTAAAAATGATATTAACCGTATAGTAGACACTATTTCATTAAAACTTTAAATTATACATCAAGCTGTTCGACTGCTATTATCAAAAGTCTGTTATGTTTAGTGTTTGTATGCACACAAAAAAGTTAATATTTCTTATGTTAGCATTGTGACCTGAATACCTGGTATGAAATGTTATTTTCCTCGTACTTTGTATTGTTCTTTACTATGTAGTTTCCTTTGACCAAACTATAAACATTACATACTGAGGTATTCGACTGTTTATTCACTTAACGTTTATTGACTGTAAAACAACTCTACGGGTTGTCTAATATTCTACTTCACAAAATAAAAACTACATCAATTATAACATGTTTCTGTAAACATTTCTTAGAAAATACGTAATCCAAGATGATAAGTTTCTTGTAAATTCCTGGTCAGGTTACCTGCATTTAAAGAGAAAATAATTAAAGTGTAAACAAAGTTATTTACACAAATAGAAAACGTTTACAAGATATCATACGTATATAAGTTATTCCAGCCTTCACATGTCTTTAACATGCCTTAGGGCCCGGCAAGGCCAGGCGGTTAAGGCGCTCTTGACTCGCAATCTGAGGGAAACGGGTTCGAATCTCCGTCTTACCAAACATGCTCACCCTTTCAGTCGTGGGAGCATTATAATTTGTCGGTCACTCCCACTATTCGATGGTAAAAGAGTATCCTAAGAGTTGGCGGTGGGTGGTAATGACAAGTTGTCTTTCTTCTAGCCTCTCACTGCTAAATTAGGGACGGCTAGCGCTAATAGTCCTCGCGTGGCTTTATGCGAAACCACTCATTTGTTATAAAAGGAAATACTGTATAGTATTGTAAAGCTCTAATGACTTATTGAGGATACATTTAAGATACCATTTCGATGAACAATCCGAACCATCCCTACATAGGTAGTACTACCGCCTGCCTAATAGAACATTAGTTGTAAACTTTAATTTGTGTGTCAGAAAAACATCGTTCATCTTCTGCGTGATTATAGAATATTTAGAACATTGATTACAGTTCTTCTTGTATTCATGTGTCAAGAAAACGTCTATCATGTGATTATAGAATATTTAGAACATTGATTACAGTTCTTCTTGTATTCATGTGTCAAGAAAACGTCTATCATGTGATTATACAATATTTAGAACATTGATTACAGTTCTTCTTGTATTCATGTGTCAAGAAAACGTCTATCACGTGATTATACTATATTCTGTAATGTTTGAGGAGGTCACTTACTCCCACCCACTTCTCCCGTAAGAATTATATTCCTGTGGTCCAGTAAGATTAATAGATAGTTTGAAGTAGCTTCTTTAAGGACCGCAACTTAATAAAAGTTTGAATGTGTTACTCAGGATATCAATGGTGTGAAGTTCTTTGTGATAGGGAGTTAAATATTTCTAGCTGAGGATAGGCTAGAAGGATGTTGGTTCAACTCTATAAGGATTAATACTAGTTTGTTTAAAGGTAACTGTTTATATTATTTATATATCCAAATTCAGCCACCATACCAGAGTAATTCTGGGTGGAGGAGCTGTGGCAGCAGGTTTAACATTAGTTGTTCTGTTCTACTTTAATTTAGTTAATATCAATAAAATGTTCTACAGCTTACCTTAAACTGTCGACGTTTATAACCTTTCTTTAACCCTCGTATCTTCCATTTGTACGAAATCTTCCACCGTATATACCATATACTCCACGACGTGGATCGCTTGAACCACCATCGTTCAGACCCTCAACTGCAGGAAGGATCAAACAACCCAACAACAAACAGACGACAAGAACTACAACAAGTGTCGTTTTCATGCTTCACGGCTGAACAAGATATATTAGCAAATAATCCGCCTTTTCATTGTATAATAATAAAGCAAACAGACTGAGATACTACAGTGATAAACACAAAGTGACAACAAATCCAGTTTGTTCTTTAAGAGACGTGTTATATGGATATACTTGTGCTTTAAAATTAGAAAAAGGAAATTATTCATTTGTCTACAAACTTTTGTTTCTATCTACGTTTATTTCATCACTTTAGCCACAAATAGCGAAGAAACTTCTGACAAGAAACTCAAATATATTCAATAACTTAATATTACTAACGATGTCTTCAATTAAACTTCTATGTGATAATGAAACACGTGCAGTATTAGGTTTACATAAAATATGTCGTGGTATAACATCATGACAAACGAAAAATAACTTACCTTTTGTTTGATGTTTCATAAATTCTGAGGGAGAGATTTTCAGCTCTGCACGAAAGTATGTTCTTTGATATTTACAAGTAACCTTGAGATTACTTCCGAAAAAGTTTAGGAAACATTCAATAGATCTCAAGGACTTCTAACGTTTCATCAGTAGACGATGTTTCCTGAACAAGTTAATTTGTAAAAAAGCTGCCTTCATTTCTGTGGGCTCTCATTGGTCAGTCAATGGTAGAAAGAAGTTCCTTGTTGTAAAGAGTCAAATATTTCTAGCTGAGGATAGGCTAGAAGGATGTTGGTTCAACTCTATAAAGTTTAACACTAGTTTGTTTAAAAGTGACTGGTTTTATTATTGATATACCCAAACTCAACCACCATATCAGCGTAATTACGGGTGGAGGAGCTGTATCAGCAGGTTTAACATTAGTTGTTCTGTTCTACTTTTATTAGTGTGTGTGAAGAGAACGTTGATCATCTTATATAGGATTAAACTATATTCAGAGCATTAGTTGTTTTGTTTTACTTTTATTATTGTATCAAGAGAACGCCCATCATCTTGTATATGATTATACTCGCAATCTGAGGGTCGCGGATTCGAATCCCCGTCACACCAAACATGCGTTATAATGTGACGGTCAATCCCACTATTCGTTGGTAAAAGAGTAGCCCAATAGTTGGCGGTGGGTGGTGATGACTAGCTGCCTTCCCTCTAGTCTTACACTGCTAAATTAGTGACGGCTAGCGCAGATAGCCCTCGTGTAGCTTTGCGCGAAATTCAAAACAAACAAACAAATAGAGTTATTTGTAAAATGCGAAGAATGACGTTTTTAATCTGCGTATGATCTTAGGAATTCTCCCCACCTCCTATAATCGAGACCACGCTTTTCACTTTAGCTATTTCTATACGACAGACTGTAAAAATCAGAATATTTTTAACCGTCGTATCTACATCTTAACTGCCACAAAAACCTCCAGTGTATCACTATCTCTAGTGTTTTCTGTCATGGCTACTGCAGTGGTCGAAATTTCCAATAATTACTGTAAATTATCGACTTATTTTCATTTCTAGAACAAGTTGGGTCTAAATAATTAATAATTGTACGTATTACAACACTGTTACAACAATCATTGTAAATAACTGACAAAAACTAGGCTAAAATTTGTATGTAAAATACAAACAACTGTAACGCTGATGGTATTTTTGTGTGACTATTATGGATCGTACAAATAATATAACAACAGCAGAACTACTGTAATAATACAACAGTAGAGCTACTCTAATAACACAACAACAGTAGAACTACTGTAATAATATAAGAACAGTAAAACTACTGTAATAATACAACAACAGTAGAGCTACTGTAATAATACAACAACAGTAAAACTACTGTAATAATACAACAACAGTAGAACTACTGTAATAATACAACAACGGTAGAACTACTGTAATAATACAACAACAGTAGAGCTACTGTAATAATATAACAACAGTAGAACTACTGTAATAATACAACAACAGTAGAACTACTGTAATAATACAACAACAGTAGAGCTACTGTAATAATACAACAACAGTAGAACTACTGTAATAATACAACAACAGTAGAACTACTGTAATAATACAACAACAGTAGAACTACTGTAATACAACAACAGTAGAACTACTGTAATAATACAACAACAGTAAAACTACTGTAATAATATAACAGATCATTTAGAAACATAATATTGATTACAAAGTACCAATACATCTTTTCTGATGTTTTACAAACTTCGAATATTTAAGTATGATTCTGGTAATAACATGCAGAGCGGTCAGTAGTTCTAGCTCGTGCATTATAGAAAGAAATCTGATTTAGTGGTAGTGACATAAAAGAGCAAATATACGTGTTCTTACCCGGACATCAGAGTGAATAACATTGGTCGTTAGGGCTTCCACGTGATTATTCTTCACGACATGATGAACTTCGGTGTCGTTGTAGCGTGAGAAAAGAGCAACCACGTGTTTTTTATCCAACTGTTCTGACCACTAAACCATCATGGTGGTCAGAGAGTTTCTCAGTTCCTTCTCGGTTCTGTAAACTAGAATAATCCATAGTCTTTTGGAGAGAGAGGCTTGAGAAAAGAACATATTAATACCCGAATTTGTATATTTTTTGTGTCTTGTTTTAATCATTTCCTTTGAAGTCAGACGCCTTGCGTTGTCGCCCGACATATAACGACGACTAGACACGTTCTTTGTGCATACTGTATTAGCGTATACAAGAGTTTTTCAACTGTCTTGGTTGAATAAAGTAATCAATAGGTTTAAACTGCTGCGTGTCTCTTCATGTGAAGTGACAGATGGTCGGACCGAGAGAAAGCACGTTCACACAGGCGACACTGAAAAGGTCTATCGCCGGTGTGTTTCCGGTAGTGTCTGGTCAGTTCGTCGGAACGTGAAAACTTCCAGCCACATCCTTTCCACGTGCACTCGTAAGGCTTCTCGCCGGTGTGGGTCCGGAGATGAGACTTCAGGTGGGAGCTCTTGGTGTACGTTTTACTACAGCCCGGATGAGAACACACGTGAACTGTTACTTTTTTGCGGACAGAACATTTTCGACCTCGCCGCGGTTTGATTGGTGGGGGTGGAGGGATTCCAGGGACGGAGGAGCAGTAAGACGCAGTTCCAGTAACCAGAAGATCGCCCAGACTCGGCGATGACGGTGGCGTCACCATCCGTACGTGTGGATGGCTATGGTTAGGAGCGGCGTGTGATGGCCAGCTATGAAACATCGAAACTTTCCCCGCGGTCGACTGATAGGAGACCGTTTCCATGACATTGTTTGGCTGAGAATACGGTTGTCCCCCAGAGGTTTCTGGGGACGCTGGAGGCGACATCTGAGAAGGTACATTGAGGACCGATCCTGAACGACAGTAGCCCCAAGGACAGGAATAAGTCATATTTGGCTCGTTATGTCGAGTAACTGTTGGCGGGTAGTGTGATACAGGAACGTATTGTCCTGTGTAGTCATTGTGATAAAAATTCACCATTTCCATTCCTCTGTAAGGCTTTAACATGCATTGTCCGTAATTTGGTTTCGTTGGCACCTGAAACCCACGGAAATTTGTGAAACTGGAATTGTTCTCTAAGCCTCTTTCCGGATGACTGGAGAGTTGGGAAGATGCCGTAACTGGGAAGGTAGACATAAGCATCTCCGGCTGTTGAGCGTCTTCTTGCGGCCGAGTCGCGGCGGGAATGGTTACAGATCCCGGGTGAGCGGAATTACTGATTTCGCCCAAGAGCACACTTTCTATATCTTGCCATATCTAAAAAGAAAACCGAAAAGAAAGAGCTGGGTGTTAACGAATGAAATAAATTCTTCACACAGTTAATATACTGCTAATTATACCCGAAACAGGGTACTTCATCGCTACAATCCGGGGTTTGATTCGTGCTGTGGGAAACAAGCTACTTTCGAATCGTTGAAAAATTCGCCAAATAAATCGTCAGATTTCACTAATTTTTAACAAGTAAGAAAGCCAGTGTCGTAACAATTGTTTTCACTCTATTAAAACCATTAATGTTTAGCCGGACAACCGAAAATCACGGTGTTTAATGAAAGTTCCTTCCTAAAGCTATCGTGGAGAAAGTTTGGAAGTGGGATCGTATGTTTATATTTTAATCTACGGGGTCCACACACTGAGGTTTATGAATATTTTATATCAGGCCCGAACGCAGAATGTTTTAAAGGGGGGGGGGTCTAATTTGTGAGATCAAAAAGTCAATACATATCGTGCGAATCACGATCAGAATGGAAAGCATGCTAGTGCTACGGGGGGTGTGGGGGGCATGCAACTGTTTCAAGTCACAACTGCTATAAAACTAAGTAGAAAACGTTAAATACCAGAAACAGCTGTGCTGTAACTATATTAGGATCTATTTTTTTTTTTACAACACAAAAATAAATGGTTCGGCCAACCCCGGTACACCTTGTAAGTTTCGAAGTATCCCGGTCAAGATATTCTTTTCTGGATAACCACTCCTCATTTCAACAAAATGGCGCTCTTGGTCTTATAATCTTACTAGAAACAGGGCCAGGCGTATGTTCTGGAGTACATTATTACGGAGATTCTTTTTAGTTTCTAGAAACTGTTTAAAAAACAAAAAAAAGAACTAAACTCTTTTAACACTTACGTCTTGGAAGTCCGCCATAGCGGAGGCCATGGAAGTAGAATACTTCGAGAAACAGTAATGAGGACCGCCGTATCTTTGGACGAGATTCTGTTCAAGTGACCTTCCTGCACGGAACGCTGTCTGAAATCGTCATACACCTGTGAGCGGTTCTCAACTCTACGTATCACACCTGTTTTCATTGGTCATCGAGAATGTGATGTCATCAAACGCAGGATCCCCTTATGATTCCTTATTGGTGGACAAGGCTGTTGTTTCCTGTAGTATTTGTCCCTAGTTAGACAGACACCCTCCGAGAAAAGATAACCTTTACTAAACGTCTGTTTGATTTCTTTGATCTGTAAGCCTAGCGGTAATTTATGTAAGCTAGACATATCAGTACAACAGGTGATATATTATTATATTGTATTATGTAACATAATAAATGAGTCCACTAACAACTGACACAACGTTTTCTTTCATAGCAGGTTAATCCGTGCTCAACAGCTCCCTTGAAACTTTAACTGGTGGAAATGAAAAAAAACATTTGTTGGAGAGAATGAATGCTATCCATTTAGTGATTGGTTTATTATCGTCAGGTGAAAATGAATGTTATCCATTTAGTGATTGGTTTATTATCGTCAGGTGAAAATGAATGTTATCCATTTAGTGATTGGTTTATTATCGTTAGGTTAAAATGAATGTTATCCATTTCGTGATTGGTTTATTATAGTTAGGTGAAAATGAATGCTATCCATTTAGTGATTGGTTTATTGTAGTTAGGTGAAAATGAATGCTATCCGTTTAGTGATTGGTTTATTGTAGTTAGGTGAAAATGAATGCTATCCATTTAGTGATTGGTTTATTATAGTTAGGTGAGAATGAATGTTATCCATTTAGTGATTGGTTTATTATAGTTAGGTGAGAATGAATGCTATCCATTTAGTGATTGGTTTATTATAGTTAGGTGAGAATGAAAAGGTACATTATACTGTTACAGATGTACGTTAGTACGTACAACCTGTACGTCCATGTTTAGGAAGAAAAATTAAAATTCGTTAAGTTTCTCATTTCAACACAAAAGCTAAAAGTTTGTTGTAAAACCACCAATTTTAACGCGTTATAAATAACCTAAAAGACGTTAATAAAACGTTGTTATCCATGTTTTTACTTTAAAACAAAATTAGGAAGGAGAAAAAAAATTGGTTTCCTGTAAATTAGACAAATTAAAACACTACGGACTGTTAGAAACACCCAACTTAGGTGAAATGTGGGTTTATTAGGTGGCACCTTTAAGATGGTTCCGTCTTTCCTGAGCACGTGATGCTCATATATCGAGTGTAAGCCTCTGGAACAATAGTGTTTTACCGGTAAAAATGCCAACGTTGGTTCCGGTTCCGCCTAAGGGTTTCCAGTCTCTGTACTACAGGGTATAATTCAAATTACATATATTTCGAATGTCGGGAAAGTTTGGACAATGATTATAGCGTCTTTCCTGATATATATTTTGTCAAAAAGATAAAGAATAGATAAAACGGTAAAAAGAAATTAAAAAAAAAAGGCAAATCGATACAAGCGTGTTAACGAGATGTTCTTCGTGCTGTGATCTCCTGCGCATGCTTATTTGTTTACTGTTAGTCACGTGGAAAACGGAGCGAACTCTATCGTCATGGTCGGTCTACAGTTTAACACTACGTTAGAACGTGCAGTTTGATTGGCATGATGAAATTTTTAATAACGTCTGAAAACCATGGGCCGTCTCAATCCAGGGTTTGATAGAGGTCAAGTCGTGAAGGGCGAGAACATTATACTCTATACACTCTGGCGTCGAGAGTACGAACACATCTGTGGGCTACATTTGATAAACCACTGTTATATTCTCGAATAATGATTCTGCGAGAGGCAACATTGCTGAAATTATAGACCAGAAGACCAAATAATTAAATGTATGCCTGGAAAGAAGTTTCAAAGTGATTGAGAAAGTATACGAAGACTTCTGATGTCCGAACCATGTATTGTTTATCTATGAAAATTAGGGTTAACTACGTTAATATA